ATATAACTCAATAATAAAAATTAGTCATAATTATCAAATTAAATATATATTATATAATATATAATTAATGATAAAAATTAGTCATCTTGATATATATTATAAAAAACAAAATACATATTACTTGAGTATGTTTTAAATATAAAATACATATTATATTAGTATATATCTTAGCAGTTCTCAATCAGTAATATAAATATAATTTATATAATATCTGATATGTAAACTATAATTATCTCATCTTGATATTATAAAAAGTAAAATATATATCACTTAAGTATGTCATAAAAAACAAAATATATATCATTCTCAGATGAATTATAATCTATACTAAGTAATATAATTATAGTCTAATTAGATTATAATTATATTACTAAGCTTGCAAATTAATAATAATAATATTTAAAATATCTTTTTTTTAAAAAAAAATAATTTTATTTTGGTTTTTTTAGTAAAGTAATACTTTATTTATTATAAAATTAAAGTATAATAAAATAATTAAAATAATATAAAAAGTTAATTTAAATCGTATTTTATTTAATATAAAAAAATTATAAAGGTTAGTTAAAATTTGAATAATTTTTATTAGAAGCAATTATTAATTTTATATTGATATACCAATCTTTTTGCATCAGATCATAATAATATAATTAAGTTTATAAAGTTTATTATTAAAATTTTATATAAATAATCAGAATGTTGAATTTTGAAAATTTGATCATCTTTCAAAGAAAAACAATATAGTATTAGTTTTTTGAGATTTCTGTAGAATTGCAGTAAATCACTTTGTTATAATTAATAATAAATCTAATAAATCAAATAAATATTTGCATATACTAAATCTCATCGTTTAACGACGAATCGGCTTTTTTAGCTCTAAAGCCACATTATAGAATTTTGGACTATTAATTCTGGTCAGAATTAATAGTTTCAATTTCCTCCTGCTTAATGGTTTCAAAAAAAATTTTTCGATTTTTGTACAACTAGATACATCCTTGATCTAATCATTAAAAATGAGCACTTTTGGTACGTTATTTCGCGTTACTACATATGGAGAATCACATTGTAAGTCAGTAGGTTGTATTGTGGACGGAGTTCCGCCGGGTTTACCACTTGTCGAAGCAGATATACAAACACAACTAAGTAGAAGACGGCCTGGACAAAGTAATCTGACGACACCGGTAGGTTGGTTGTATACATTTTATTTTCATTCAACTTTCTATTAAGTGAAATGGCTTTTGTTTAACTTTTTTAGTTTCACACATTATTTAGCGAGACGAAAAAGACCTAGTGACAATACAGTCTGGGACTGAATTCGGAATAACGCTCGGTACGCCAATCGGTATACAGGTTCTTAACCAAGACCAACGACCACACGATTACTCTGAAACTGACCTGTATCCTCGTCCTAGCCACGCCGATTGGACTTACTTGAAGAAATATGGTGTGAAAGCTAGTAGTGGTGGTGGTAGAGCCTCCGCTCGGGAAACAATAGGTATATCTTAAGAATGGTTTTTCGATTTTTATGAGTCGTATAAATCAAAAATTCAATTTTTAAAAAAGGTCGAGTTGCAGCCGGGGCAATCGCCGAAAAATATCTGAAACTCGCGGATGGCGTTGAAATTGTAGCGTTTGTTAGCTCGGTGTCAAAGGTTGCGATGTCGTTTATTGAGTTTGAAGATGAAAAGATTTTCCCGGCCGATTTTTGGAATTTTTTGAATACCATTACTCGTGAACAAGTAGACAAAGATAGCGTAAGATGCCCAGATAAAGATGTTTCTGAAAGGATGCGACAGGTATTTATTTTCTTTTAATGAACTTTTTGTCGATACATATTAATCTAATTTGCTGCATCATATCTTTATATAAATAAAAAAGCGAATTCTTGAAGCAAAAAACAAAAACGATTCGGTAGGCGGCACAATTACTTGTGTAATTCGTAATGTTCCGGTTGGACTTGGGGAACCATGCTTTGACAAACTAGAGGCAAAACTAGCACACGCGATGCTATCAATCCCAGCGACAAAAGGATTCGAGATTGGGAGTGGATTTAAAGGAACCACATTAGAAGGACACCAACACAATGACCCGTGGATCAAAAAATCCCATGGCAGTTTAGGCACTATCACAAACAATTCTGGGGGTACACAAGGCGGAATCTCCAATGGTGAAAACATTTATTTTCGTGTTGCGTTTAAACCTCCTGCGACTATTTCACAGCCTCAGAAAACCGCTACATATGATGGTGTGGATGGGGTATTGGCTGCTCGTGGACGTCATGATCCGTGTGTTGTGCCTAGAGCTGTGCCGATTGTTGAGGCTATGGCGGCCTTGGTTATTATGGAGTAAGTAATATATGAGTTAAATTCTCTTATATTTTTCAATATCTCGATTCACAATTCGATCGTTCTTGTTTATAGTGCTGTATTGATTCAAAAAGCTCGTGCAAGTGCATCTGCCTTACTTCCACCAATAACAACACTTCCATCATCCATGATTGGTGTGGTTCAATCTCTTAGTATTACTAAAGAGAGTGAAGACGACGTTAATAATGTAACAAAATAAAAAGATAAATAATTTAGTCCAAAAGATTGTTTTTGTTTTTTGAAAAATTAAGCTAATTTTCATTTGTGAAACACTACTAACTAGAGATGCTAACGACACGATCTTGTAATTAGATATTTAATCATTAAATTGTCTATTACGTATTTTTTTTATCGTTATTATCTAACTTAACACGAAATCATTTGTCAATTCAAGAGAGTTCAGTTCCTTGTGAACAATTATTTTCAATTATTATAGTTGTGCCTGTTCTCTTAATGTAATAAAAAATAATAAGATTTTCTCTTTTATAACAAGTTACTGGATTTATTCACTTTGCAAAACTGTAAAGAAATCTCTCATTATTATTCATCATGCTTTATTATATTATAAAAAAATTTAATATAACTTTAATAAATATTAAATTGAATATATGAAAAAAATCTAATATATCTGATATACTTCTCTTAGATATTATTAGATATTATCTAATATTTTTAAAAAAGTGAAGAAGTTCAATAAAGATCTTAGATTATACATATATATATGAATTATAATATATAATTTTATTTCATATCTTATTTGAAAGAAAGTATATACTTGTATTAAAATAATATTAAATAATATTTAATAGTATTCTTACTTATTAATAAATGATAATATTTCTAAAATATAAAAAATCTTTCTAAATATATTACAAGATCTATTAAAATTTATAAAAAAAAGCAATTTTCTTAAAGTATTATCAGATATTATTTAATATTTTGAGAATTTGAAGAAAAAGAGAAGAGATTTAATAGAGATCTTAAATTATATATATATATAAAATTATATTATATAATTCTATTTTATATCTTATCTGAAAGAAAAAAAGTATATACTTATATTAAAATAATATTAAATAATATCTAATAGTATTCTTACTTATCAATAAATAATAATATTTCTAAAATATAAAAAAAATCTTTTGAAAAACTTATAAGAAAGAGAAATTCAAAATTTATTAAAAAATATAAAGAATATCTTATCAAAATCAAGTTTAAATAAAATTATTATAATAAAAATATTAAATTAATAAAAAAACTTGTTATTAAAATTATTTTATAAAAAAAATAAAATCTTACTATATAATATTAATATAATTATTTATTATAATTATAATTAAATATTTATATATCTTATTTAAATTAATAATTAATAAGATATATTATTTTAATATAGTCAGCTCTCTATAATAAAATCTTTTTATAGTTATCTTTTTATAATCATTTTTTTTAAGTTTTCCAGTTACTAATTAACTATAATTAAAAAAATCTATTTATAGTCACATCTCTTTATAATCATTCAATTTTGCTTTTCCAAATGCAATAACTATAGAGAGATTTGACTATACTTGTAAAATACACTTGTTTAATATTCAAGTGATATGAATTACAAAACAATTTGATTTTAATAATTGCTGGAAAAAGTGCACTTTTATTATTCTATTATTCAAAAAATGTAAAAATTATGTCAGAAAAAATGCATGATTTGTAAGAGAAATTATTGAAAAGTTTGCTATTTGATTGCAGAGAAACCACTTTTTCTTCCATCTTTTCATCGATCTAATGCGAAATAGCCGGAGCTAATCAACTTCCTCATTTTTATATGCGAATAGTGCCTAAGTATAAGAAAGCTTGAGGCAAAACAGGAATTAGAGCTAATCCTGGCATTCCAATTACTTCACAAGAAGCAATGAAAGTCGAGAAGTTCTCCAACCTTTTTCTATTATAAAGATCTATATAACAAAGTTTGACCAAATTCTAAGCTAGGAAAAAGGAATAACGCGTCTATTTGATCATTATCCAGATTTCGAAAAGGAGAATTTCGTTATTTTATGAATCAATTAAAACACGATTTAAGAAAAACTATTGAATAAAATGATTCGACATACTTTTTTGATACAAGAGATAGAACGCGAATGATTGAATAGTTTCTTGTTTGTTGTATGAATGGTTAGAAAATGCACAAACGTGTCCATATGGATAAATTGGTAAACATTATCATATTTATTAATTTATTTTTAGTGAACTTATTAAATTGATCTTTATATTTCCTTAGACGAAATCTAACTTTCTGATGGAGGCGGAAATGTTCTTTGACCTTTTTCATAATCACAATATACGTCTTTCATGTAGTTTTTTATTTTAACAGACACCATCCTTACAAATGGAGATCTCTGACGGACACCTTTGCAAAACAGAAACAATTTAACCCAATTTAGCCTATATATTCGCCTTTTAACGTTAATTTAGCCTAAATATTCGCCTTTTAACGTTAATTTAGCCTAAATATTCGCCTTTTAACGTTAATTTAGCCTAAATAAACATCTTTATTGGTTTATGATGTGCATGTGATCAGAAACCGTGCTCATATAAATAAGAATAAAAAAAACTGGATCCTATAATTATTTATTACCAAACATGACCACAACAATTTCAATAAAGCTCGAAACTGATGTTGCACGACGTGAATTTATTGATAAATTTGATGCTTTTTTACTTGATTGTGATGGTATTTTATCTCGAACTTTTTTAGATGCAATAAATAATTTGTTTGATCATGCCAATACATCAACAATAATAATTATTAAAAGGTGTAATATGGGAAGAGGAAATAGTTTTGCCTGGTGTACATGAGACATTAAAATATCTTCGAAGCAAAGGTAACAAATTGCTTATCAAATCAACAGAATTAATAATAAATTATCATTAAATTATCATTGAATTATCATTAAATTAATGGGAAATCCAGGAAAACAACTTTTATTTGTTACAAACAACAGTACAAGGTCTCGAGATGCATATCTCGCTAAATTTCAAAGACTGGGAATCGAAGCTTATGTGGTGTGTATAATCATATGTGACTTTTATAGAGAAAGCGCAAACACAATACACAATGAATGATTATCCAAAAAAAAATAGGACGAGATCTTCGGTTCGGCATATGCATCGGCTTACTACCTCAAAAACGTGCTTGACTTTCCATCCGATAAGAAAGTCTATGTAATTGGTGAATCAGGTATTACTGACGAACTAGCTGCTGAAGGAATTCAGTATATTGGCTCTGCGGTAGGAATAATATAACTAAATCATTTTTGGTTATCATTATCGTGTTGAAATACTTGCATAAGTTTTATTAAAACTAATATATGATTATAAAGGCAGACAATGAATCTCTGAAGAGCATGGATTTCAGTAAAATCGTACCAGATCCGGAGGTAAATAATAAAAACGTATCATTTTTTGCTGATCCCATTTCCTAATAAATTTTGCCTATAAATAAGGTTGGTGCTGTTCTTTGTGGATTTGATCTTTACGTCAACTATTTGAAGTTCGCAAAAGCTTTCACTTACCTTCACTCCAATCCAAATTGTCTCTTTTTATTAACAAACAATGACACCACATATCCTGCAAATGGATCAATCTTTCCTGGTAAGTGATGAGACATTGATTCAATCGATCAATCGTTTAATTTGACAAGGCACAATATTTTTAATAACCAAAGGGACAGGATCTCTCGCCGCACCACTAGTCACAGCTTTAAACCGAAAACCTCATTGCGTAATAGGAAAGCCAAATAAACCAATGCTAGACTGCATCGTGAAAAAGTTTCATTTGGATGTGAAAAGAACCTGTATGATTGGTGATAGACTTGACACTGATATCCAGTTTGGGATAAATGGTGGCATTTCTTCGTTGTTGGTGTTGACGGGCGTTTCACAAGAAAAAGAAATTCTTGCCAATGATGCTTCGATCGTTCCCGATTATTATATCAAAAGTCTCGGTGATTTTGCGACAATTATCGAATAATACCTTTTTTTTTTACTTATAAAGCAAAACGTTCATTTAAGCGACTCGACTTAGCGGTGATCGAAGTGATATATATCCTCCACAAATCCTTCATTAAGTCAAAGTTGAATTAAAAACTTCAACTTTTATTCGCGAATATTTATAACAAATTCCTTTTATTTTTTTACGATACTCGTAGTAATCTACCTTGAGCAGGTTCGCTGCTACTCTCACAAACATAATTATTACAAATACCATCCTCTAATATCTTATATTACACTACATATTACATATACTATACACACATATCCTGGTTTTAGTATTTAAATTATAGTCAAAATAAATAGTAAATAATTTAATTAATTTATACAAAACATGACTGATCTTATCAAGATATTAAAAGATGATTCTTTTAGTTCCAAGCTCTTATCTTTCAGTAAAATTATCTATATATTTAGAAGAACTAAATAAAAATATACTTGTTTGGATAATACAAGTCAAGATTATATTTCTTATTTAAAAAATTATAAAGATACTAATATAAGTATAATATGTCACTATTTTCTTAACTGATATAGCTCTCTATTAGTATTTAAATAAATGTAAGATTAGTAATAATATCATATTATTTAAAGAATATAATATATTTATTACTATTTTTAGAAAAGTCTTTTAATTATCATATTATTAATAATATTTTTGCAGATAATTATGTCTTTATCAAATAGGATCTATTCAAGACTATAATATAAAATTCAGAAATTAGTTAAATAAATCACAAATATAAGTAATCTAGATCAAAATTATCTATTTTATAGAAGATCTTAAACTTACTATCAAAAATAAAGATCAGTTATCAAATATTAAAAACTTTAAAAGAAGCTTAAAAGTTAGCAATTTATTATAATATTATTATATAAACAAGATAAATCTTTAAATATATCAAGTAAATATAATAATAATTATTATTCATAATAAAATAGAAGTTATTAAAATAATAATCTAATACTTATAATATTAATTAAGCAGAAAGCTATTATAACAGAAAGAATAATAATTAATAAAAGAATAATAAATTCAAAAATATATACTATAATTATAAAAAATCTAATTATTTTATAAAAAATTATTATTTTAAATCAAAGATCAAGATCATTAATATAAAAAATTCTCAAGAAGAATTATCATATTAAAATAAAAGAATAAAGTTTATCTATTTAGAAGATAACTATAAGAGATTATTAAAATTTAATAATCAAGTAAATAGTAAATTAGTATGAATATTACTAGATAATTATATATTAAGAAACTTTATTAATAAAAAGTTTATATAAAAAATAAAGTAAAGCTATGAAAAACTAACTTTATAATTATTAAACTCACAAATAATAAAAAGATTATAGTTATTACTATAATCAAGATTAATAAGTTAAAATTAAATATATATTAAATATATAAGATAGATATATAAGTATTAAAATTATAATAATATAATTTAATTTTAAATAAATTTTTGATTATTTTATATTAATCTAACTATAAATTAAAGAAATAATACTATAATCTTTTCTTATAACTCAAAAATTATTAAGATTTAAATAAACTATAAAATAAAAATAGATTTTATTTATAATTCAATATATATTTTAAAATAATAAATTATAAATCTACTAGCAAATATAAAATTTATTATAATATATCTTAATAATATTGAAAATAAAAAAAAAGCTAAAGAGAAATCATTAGTATCTAAAGTATTAAATATAAAAAAAATATAAGAATATATTTTTAGAAATCTTATCAAATTAATTACTATTTAAGAGAATAATTAATTATAAATTTAATCTTATCTTTTTAAAGATAAGTAAAATTATAAACTAAATAGATATAGTGATAATCAAAAATAATGCAATACTTAAATTTTTTACTAATTATAATTAGTAAAATACGTATTTTTCTTTATATATAAAAGTTTTTAATTTTACTAACAA